TAGTTCCAGATAAAGATTATTTTATGCAGTATCACGGAAAACATATCTTTATATTGTAATAATAAAAATTAAGAATTTTATGTGGCATGTATCTCCTCATTACCAAACATTTATTTTTGGCTGTGGTAATTGCAATTAGCTCAGAAATGGAAACAGAAAACAGGAACAAGCAAACATGGCATCTAATACACTCCTTACATTCTACAGTGAACTATAAAAGAAGCGAAGCATCGGAAATAAATTTAGAAGTTAATTTTGCTGTACTACAATTAAATAACATGAATCTTTCAATTTAGTATTCTTATGTAATGAGAACTAATCTTCTAAAAAGTACACAACCAATGGGTAGAAATCTTGAATTCGTAATGCACGTCTCAAGTTCATTATGTCATATTACTAGGCATGGTTGTCCAACGCTCACGTTGCCGTTTCAACTTCAGCTGACACAGCAGAACTTTGTTACACATTCATTCTTTTGCTGTTTTTCTAATTATTTTTTTGATATACCAAACACATGATTTGAATATTCAACAAGTAGTCTAACAGGTGATTTTTTTGAAGGCGAAGAGATAATAAACATATCGTTTCAATTTATCGCCAAGACACGTTTGATGAAATATATATTTCGTGAACTCGGAGAGTCGGAGGCTGGTGACTCAGGGACCGCACCCTGTTTGGGGAACTACTCGGCACTGGGGCACTAGCGTGAACCAGACCGTTGCTCAAGAAATTCCGTCGAATGTCCTCGCTGGTAATGGGAACAGAGCAGCCCAACACAAGACCTGACATGCGGCGCAGAGCAGCTTTCCCTGCTGTGTTATTAGCAAACAAAACACATTACGGTAACGCGGTGCAGATTTGTCGTGAGAAACTACATTTACCTAGCTAACATAATTGTCATAATTACGAGAAAATGTTCGATATTTTTCGTAGATTTCTTTTCATTCTGTACTCGCTTTTTGCGATATAATTACTTCCTAGTATTTGCACGCTTTGAAAGTTTTTCTGCACGTACATAAGTAAAGACATTTCTGCGCCAAAAATTTGAGTTAAATGACACGAAATTACACTAGAAAGTAGTACATCAAACTTAATATCAATATGAATGAAAAAAGGGTTAATGTAAAAATCGTAAATTCTTGACTGAAATTACGAAACTTTTAAGTTGTTGACGGAATACATACATTTACATCAGATTAAAAATTCGTGGTGCTACAAACGGCACAGACTTTCCCGTATTAGTTTTGTATTTCCTTTGGTTTCGGCTCACTAAAATCAACTTTACGTCATATTAAACGTGCAAATACCAATATCCCTTCGTAAAGTTTGAAGGAAAAAAAAATGGAGAAAATGGCGTTCGAACGATTCTGAAAATGCGAAATTTTGATCTAGTTTTCACAGAAAATGGTTGAGTTTTTGAGAAACTTTATGTGATATTAATTGAAGCACAGGTACTCAGTATAATAATGTGAACAAATAACCACTAATACAAATATTAACAACGTGACAGAGAAGTAACAAAAATCCGTTTTTGTCATGTTTGAAAAAACAGAAGAATAAAACAATACGACGTGTACGTCATTTCATGGAGTACAATTAGCAGTATCTACCAAAAGTTTAAAGAAAAACTTTGGAGCAGTTTTTGAGAAAATTTCGAAAATGTCCGGAGGACTTTATGTAAGTTACCTCCAATTTTAAAGAATGTTTTTCAGTCGTTTTGCCGTCAAATGATTTTTCGGTATCAAGGACCCACAAACCAGGGGCTCTCGCTACTTCACGTCAGACGACTTTTTTAAATTTAAGAACTGAATTTATACACTTTTTCGTTATCAGGGATTGACAATGAACTTTTTCTGCCGAAACTCCCCCGTTTTTTCGTGCTGCATTATATGCAATTATGTGCAACTTTCCTTTAATATTCCCTCCGTATATACGTAAGTATACGGAAAAGAATTAATAGCAATTACAAATTCGCCCTCGCGAAAATATGAGCATATAATGATTTTGAAAGGCGAGGAGAAATATTCACTCAAATTTTAAGTTCATTTCGGTGTATTTTTTGTTGTTTTTTTTTTCTTAAAAAAAACACGAATATGATTGTTTGAAAGATGTCTCATGATTTTGGAATGCATTTGGATTACATTTCCAGCGATTTGTAAATCTTATTGGATTTGTGACAGGAAGTACTTGATATGACTTCACATGAAGTATTTTGGAAGCTCAAAAGTTTTCTGCGAAAAGGTTCAAGTTTGGCATTTACAGTGGCGCTTAAGCGTCGGTTTTTTAAAAACCGCTCCAAATTTGTTTATAGAAAATTGTCATTTAGGCCGAGGTTTTACTGTTCTTTAATAATCTTAAATTAATATTTTGGTTCTGCTACCAGGAAACCCAAAAATTAAGAAAATGTCAAAAAAATTTACTTTGAGCGTAGATGGCAGCAGGTAAGAGTAGCTAGCCGAGTAGCTAGCCGAGACCAAAGGAAGTAGAACACTAATGCGGGAAATTCTGTGTCATTAGTTAAATTTTTATTATCGATTAGAGACTATTCTTATTCAATCATTTTCATTTTGCCTCTTCCTGAACGTAAGCGGCTTTAACGTATCATTTTCACCTGTAAGCTTTGTCACTGATTAAAATAGTGACGTACCTGCGAGAGATCAATGAAAACAAATTTCTAACTAATTACTTTATTTTTAGAATTAAAAAATAGGAATGGTGCCATATTTAAAACATTTCACTTAACATTACTTTTTAATTATCTTTAATCTTGTTAAAGTTCCATTTTCTCGTACTTTCAGAACATTAAGGACCATTGTTTTTGTTTTTGAAAATTATTCATGTGCCGTTTACAAAGCACAAATATTATACACAATTATGTTAAAACTCATTTGAAATTGTGCAAGAGACAAAGTGATTCCAATGCATGTGTAAGCGACGAACGTGTCCCACTTATGATGGAAAGTATGGATTTAACGCAACACGTTTGAGTAACGCACTTTTTATATCCCTCTATTTGTAATCTAATGTAATTGTTCTTAATTCCTTACAAAATACTTTCAAATTAGAATAAGGTTTCGAATTTTGCACATAGTACCACGGGGCAAGCCTTTCAAAGTCATTGGTTAACTTTTTATCTTAATATAGCATGATAATAGATTCATAATCCACCAAACATCAAAAAAGGTGTTAACTGTTACAATAGTTTATCTCAACGATCTCCTTAGATCTTTGGATTACAAACGAAACACATTAAGTCAAGGGTTTAAGTTTTGAGAAAATAAAACTCACTTCTTAGGAAAATAATAACAGATATCCTTGTATGACACAAGGTGTATTCCACACGACAAGGTGTATGACACAAGGTGTATTTATTAAAATAAACATTTTCCCCGTAAAACATTTCATAGTCTTGTTTAATAACATTCAGAACAGAAAAATCAAATAATTCACACCATTAAAAACAACGACTTGCAGCAGAAGGCTCAGAAGTAGGCGGACGAATGGCCGCGCGAGATGATTTTATAATTTTTATAATCTTGTAAATGTCCGTGTTGCCAAAATTACGTAAGACTACATTACTCGTGGTATCACAGCAATCACAGAAGTTGGGCAGCGTCACCAGTGCAGAATGAATCTTCCCTCCCCCTCTCGCAGGCTCACGTGTGCCGAGTGGCAAGTTTGGGCGCGATGATCTCCCGATTTCGAGATTCCATTACCTGTTGCGCCTATGTGTGGTGTTTTCGTTCTTTTGTGTTCTCTAGTAATTAATAATAATGCATTGGTGTAGCAGACCGGAAATGACCGAAGGAAATCTAAATCTGCGAAGATAAATATGTAACGTGAATACACAGTTTTGAAATTTGTAAACGAGAAAACATTCGTGGAAGGCGACATTTCATTCATCACAAAAACAAAAGACCCTTCCTGGGCAATAATGTAGTAAGGCGTTACGCAGAGTTGTTTATAATTGCAGTATTACTGTCAAAAAGTACATACAGTGCCGGAGTTTTCTGCAACTTTTGACAAAATTAGAACAATTCTTTCTGTATTCAATACGCTAACGAACGATTTTTGAACCATATAAAAGAGACCGTCAACACAAAACACCGTAAGTGTTCTATTGCTGAATAGGTAATAACACCTAGTCCTGTTTCAAACGGATTTAAGAGGAAAATATTGTAAGTTCGCGGTGATGTAATGGGAACGCAGGCACATTCAACCTGCAACATACGTTAAGTTGCAACACACTTTCATATCGTTCATAATTCGGAAATGATGCATTTTAGGCCTTGTTTATTTCCCTTTAAGGATACAAGTTCGTTTCTTATGGAGTGATCTACACAATAATACATATTTGAATGTTTTATTAATTTTTGGAAGGTTACCTTACTTCGGAGTGCGGGTTGTCAGAAACGTTCGGAATTGAGTTATAAAACTAAACTAATTTTTACTTTTAAATCATAATTTGCGAAATGGGGAATGATCGCCATTAATCCCTCCATTTCTATATTCCTTTATTAGACTGTTGTAATTTATATTAAATTATCTTAAACGGTCCATGCTATTTTTGTCTGTTACTGAATTATATGTTCGGAAAATTATTGACATAGGATGCAACTTCGCAAATAAACGGTTATTAACTACAATATAGTGATTTTTTATCTTTTGGAAATAACAATTCAAGGACTGCTATTGATGTCACCATGGCATGCGATCTGATGCCATGGCGTGTTCTGGAGCCTCATGGTTTGGGAGGTCGCCTGTATCTGCCGTCTACTTCTCCCTCTCCTGCTTTTACGTGCTTCACTTGTAAACCACAATTAAATCCGTATTTCTTACTACTTTTTCGAAGAACGAGTATAATTTTTGAATGTATTCCTTGTGTGTGGTTACGAACGTATTGTATGCTTTCCTTTTTTTGTCATTTGAATAGCAAGACCAAAGTGCTGTCGTGCGCTGGTGCGCAAACACCATGCAACCGCGCCTCCGTGTGTACTCACAATGTGCCGCGCAGCGCGTTGAGGTTGTAGTCGAAGGCGGAGGTGCGCCCGGGGCCGTCGAGCAGCAGCGCGCACTCGCCCTCGGCGCCCGCCACGGGCTGGTACTGCAGCACGGCCCGCGCGCCGCCCGTCCAGGCCGCCAGCAGCAGCAGCGCTGCCCACGCCGCCCACGCGGCGCCGCCCCTGCGCGGGAAACAGTACGCTCACACACTGGGCACGACACGCGCGCGGGCGTTGCTAGGAGGCATGGGCCCGGAAAAGTACGGAGGAGTTGCTCTAAGAAGGGACTAGCGCAACAGGTCGGGAAACAAATGAAAGACGGATAGGGTGATGGAGTTAGTAATAAAGTATTTTACAAATGAGCGAACTGTAATCGAAATCATTGAGTGCGTGGACATTATTTATGTCAGCTGTTATCACATGTTGTCAGCAAATTAGAATTCGCCTGGAAACTACTCTCACATGTTGCCAGTAATAGCCAAGCAGTAGATGCCAAAGCGGTCCTTTCTAATATTAATCTCTTTATACTTGAATTGTCTCGGAGACCCTGCGCAATATACTCTCGAAAAATGTGCACGCACATTGATTTTTATTCTCAAAAATGTCATTTCTTAATAAGTCATTTCATTACAATCAAATCTTAATGTCAAACAAATGATTATTTATTTAAATTACTATTAATATGGCCTTCAAAGCATTTGCATTGGCGTATTAGAATCAAATTTTAAGGCCTACCTACATAACTTATGAGAATGCTTCCTTTACCAGTGTCGCAAATTACAGTAGTAGGATAGAAGAAAGAATACAAGGGAACAATTTCTCGAAAAAGTCGCAGAGAAGAGTAAAAATTGAAATAAAACACGTTAGGGCCTCGGCAGCCATTCACATACATTCCAGAGTTAAAAGAATGCTTTGCTTCATTGCCTCCTTCAATTTTTTCTCTGTAATATATCATATTTTTGGTTTCTCCGAGCAATGGCAGGCGAATACTAGAGTCTTACCCTAACTATCGGCAAGGGTGAGCGTGGCCTATTATTGTTTCCCTTAACAATGCAAAATATGCAGAGTCAAGTCACTTCTGATCACAGAATTTGCTCAACGGATTAAAGGAAACTGGATGGAAAATTTTATCGAGTTGGAGGATCATTAGAACTTTTGTTGTCAAACGAATAATAAAAAGTAATAGGTAGTTACGGCGGCTCAAGAGATTGAAATATCTTAAAAAAGCTGACCTAGATGTAACGAAAAACGATTTAAAATATAAATTGAGTACACCGTGGCGAAACTGATGTACGACTTCTGTTAATAGTGTGCATTATATTTAGATTAATAAACGTGATTCATGAACTTGGAGAGATGATAGTACCAAAAGACTTTTGGAGAATTTTAGTTTTCATGTACGACCTGTTACTTTACTACGATATAAAGAATATATGCGGGCTTCTCCAATTAGAAGAATTCAACAGCTGTTCGTGCAACGAGAGTTTCCACTCTCATCTTTCTACTGGAACGTCTCATAAAGTCCTACAGACTGGTTTTGTTGCTTCCACCGGAATCTGAGAAGCCGCCAGCCACTACTTTGAATGATGTCCTGCACAACGACGCTTACAAATGGTGCTTCTAGTGTTGTACCGTTGGAGTTTTACAGAAGTAAATTTTTATATTCTAGGTGAGTAGGTTTTATGTTTAAGGGTAAATACTTGGCGTGCCTTCAGCACCGGATGTTTGAAAGCACACACGGGAGAGAACTTTCTCCCTCGAAAAACGCCATCGGAGCTGCGACTCATAATGAACGGGGCTCTCGAGTGGAGGGTGAAGTGGCTGACCCTCCCTCTCCCTTTCTCCGCACACGCACTCACACATACACACTCACACACGCACACACTGCGCGCACTTACTGCCTCCCTCTCCCTTTCACTCTCTGTCTCTCCCTGACAACACAAGCACACCACGCCTTTGGGAATCAGAAGTCGCAGCGACTTTGCAACTACTTTAAAACGTCAAACAAAACACCCAAGTTTATTTTGTGTCGGAAACAGTACAAAAGTATATGTGACTTGTGGGGACAAGTATAAATAGGCACAGTATTTAAATACATACTGTAAAATAAATGCAGCAGAGTCTCTAACGCTTGGTCTTTACCAACTCAAATTCGTTCATTTCACGTATTTTGTTCAGTCTCCTTCAACTCCCTGATAATTTGATGGTGTTCGGGTAAAGGGAGTTTAGTCATTTTTTTCAAGGTGAAGTTTCGTTGCTTATGAAGTGCATGGTAAAATAATTAATGAACATTACAAATATTCAATTAAAATGTTGGGAATTTAATTTTTTTGATGTCACTAAGCAAGAGTTTTGAATGATGACACAAATGAAAATTAAGGCTTACGTCAGTAGCAGTGGCAATTGCCTTTCTCGTCAAAATTAGGAGATTAAAATATCAATCTCTGAACTTTCGCCCCGCTCTCAGTGGTTGTCGCCTGTACTCATTTACTTATTTACTAAAGTACTAGTTTACTCATATATCCGTGTGGAATTTGGTTACTCGATAGTTATTACCGTGAAATATTTGATAATTCGACTTTTTTATTTCTCTTTCAGGCCCGATGCAGCGAGAATATTTATATATTGAGAAAACATTTGCGTAGTATTGAAATTCTTAAATTATTGCTCTTTTAGATCCTCAGACACGATACCCCAAATTGAAACCGTGGTTTAATATAGTACGAGTGCCAAGAATGAACGCATGATTCCTGTAAGTTCATGTGTTGATCTGAGGAGGCGCATCGTGCAAGCGGTAGTCGACCCCGCCCACCCAGCTCTACTCTGCCTTCTCTTCCCGCCCACTAGCGAAAGGATACCTTTACGTCCTACACTTTCCTCGCGCGACGTCGCATGACGACATGGCAGGAATCGCCAAGGCGCAAGGTCAAGATCCTTCCACGCACTGCACGTCCCGTGGAATGTCATCCCAACCTACTCGCAGGCAATGAAACCATGCGTGATATCAGGCCGTACCATAACGCAGTGAAACACATTAAAACGATTTTAAATTTCTGAATTTACTAGAAACAAGTTCTTAAATCTAATCCAATCTATTTTTACATTAAGGAAATATTGACCCTGAGATGGCGCGTGCAGTAGGAGTGAAATGTTCTCTCCCGACATGATTGCAAGGGACTTATAGTATGGAATAATGGAGTAATAACCTTTCGCAGGCCGCAATAAATGGCACCACGGGCCACCGGTTGGATAACCCTGATTTAGATCGTTTTTATTTGTTGTTTCCCAAGTTATTTCGACACCTATTCGAAGTGAAAACAAATTTCCTATTTCAATATCAAATCTCATGGTACTAAAAAAACGCGATTTACTGAAGCTACCATTGGCTTTCAAATGTCAAAGAACGAGGTAAAATCACACCAAGAACCGTTGACCTCCTCCTTTGCCGCCGCCCGGTATGCGGGGAGCGTGTGCGTGTGCGGGGTGAAGGTCGCATTGCACTTGCTTAATATCCCTGCCATTCCCCCATCTCTTCTCCTCGCTCCCCCGAAGGCGTTCAGACGCCCAGACGAGTTTCCCTCGCGGAATGAGGAAAGGGACGAGCCCTGATGTAAGAGGCGTTACCTACAGAGATTATCGTCGGTGCACACGACAGTGACACCTTACACAAATGATGCATTTTTAGTTAAAGAGTAGAAAAAGTTTATTTTGTTGGTAAATATTCGTCAAGATAGTTCCCAAAGCACCCGATATGTAGAGTAATACAGTTTGTCATTTTTTGCGAAGCAATCGCATCCATTCTGAACCATTCTGCTGCAAAATCATATTTTTTGACATTTCTTCTAATTCATTGACGATTATTATTATTTTTATACTTTTATTATTATTATTATTATTATTATTATTATTATTATTTATATTTATTCATCTGAAGTCATCCCAAAGAAGAGTTTTATGTTTTTTATTCAACAGTGCCCAGTGACTCACTTGCGTGTTTCACGTTTTGAGAGGCACTAAAAGTGCACCATACGCGTAAGACAAAGCACAAATACCCACGCCCAAGGAGGATGTGAATCCGCTATTGTTACTCTGAGACGCTGTGTTGGTTCACACTCCAGCCACCTTGGCCGTTCAAGTGGGCTATGGAACGAGATGAAACAGCATTTTCAGTAAATCACTTCTCGCTGTGAGTCATTGAAGAAGCAGTAATAACTACTCATATGTTTCCAAGGAATACTGGGTGAATTTTCGATAATATTTTAACATGTATATTATGTATTGTTACAATGATGCAACGCCAAGTCGATCGATTTTGCGCCCTACTTAGTCGAACTAGTTATATTGCAAATAGAGGGGGAAGTGCTTCTCAGAAAAGTTGAATTTTGAAATTCTGAGCACTGAATGAACTAGTTGTTTCTATTGTAACGTATTAGCCAGCGTGCCTCATGGCATCTATTTGGGGACGCTTGGGAGAGGATTAGCCTCGCCACAGGAAGAAGGGTTTTTCCGTAAAGGGAAGAACGCGGAAACGGGAGACACAAGGCTTTGGGAGTATGCGGCCTTTAGAAACTTTTCACTGTTATAACAAGCGAGGGGGTGGCGTGACGTAGTAGGTCACGTGGGCCTCGCCTATATAACAGAGTGTACAGAGCCAGTGGGTGGGTTCTGGAGACAGTGGGAAAACCTCGTGCGTGTGCACAAAACTCGGCGCCACGACGGTGCATATGCGAGCCAGGCTCGCGAGGCTGGAGTCACTAGTTGACGAAGCCTGCGGACTTTATGTCCTTGGGTGACTGCGGTCACGGGGGAGCGATGCTGTGTGCGTGCTCCGAGGTGAAGAGTGGTTGAGTGCCACGATTCACGCCGATTCTCAATCGGATAAGATCGCTCTTGCGATCGAGGCAAACCAGCCGTTGGTGCGCCAGAACGGACTTTGTGTCCCAGCGTGACATCCGGTCACGCTGGGACAGCTAGGCTTTGTGCGCGCTTCAAAAGTAGGAGTGGGGAATGCCACAATCAAAACCATCTTCAATCGGGTTTGGATCGCTCCCGCGATCAGGGGATAGTAGGTCTATCAGAGCTAGGGTGTAAGTAGATTATTAAGTGTATATATTTGTTTTGTTTTCTTGTTAATAAATATATTTGTTATATGAAAGCTCTGTGTCTGTGGTCTCTGTGAGTAT